GACAGTGCACAGAAGTGGTGAGCCCCATGTGAACAGAGGACACTGCCCAACCCTGCAGTGATGGGGGCTTCTCTCAGTTTAAATTTACAGGATAAACAAGCTGAATTGTCAGAGTCCACAGGGACAGCACACTTGATCTGCAATACAGAACAAAGAAGCATAAAACAAGTATTCCAGTTTCTAACTGGAGAAGCAAAAGGTAGTTTGAAAAAATACATATTCTTGGAGTGATAGTGGACAGCCTAACCTATTCCTTACTGCATCCATTCCCTCAAACTTATCCTTAGGGAGAGGTTTTACATTCAAGTGCCAAACACAGGATGTCAGTTGCACTCCTTTCTCTTGGTTTCTAAACATGCCTGCTTTTATAAATACTTCATGTTTATATTTGAACAAGCCTATCCTAGTTGTAGACCAGTTCATGAGCTCTGTAAATCTTCCCCAACAAATTTTCTTGAGGAAAACAGCAATGCCAAAGGATTTCATGGCACCATTACCTTTGAGAAAGGTGGAGTAAAGCACCAGACCTGTTCACCTAACCAAAAAGTGGAGATCAGCATTTTCAGATGGCATCTACTTGTTCTTCTCTGCTGGAGCTAGAGGTCTGCTTTGTCCAGGCACACTGCCCCAGTTCCTGCAGCCAACATCTCTGTCCCTGCTCCTGCTTTTCACTTGAGCTATTGAGCCACATAAGCACTGTTTTGCCATTTGTAAACCCTCTTGAAAGTGTTCAATCTGCTGGAGGAGCAAGGTGTTTACCTTGATCTTGTGTGGGGGAGTCTCCAAACTGACAGACTCTCTCACCCACCTGCTCTGTTGGCATCTCCTGGGAGGGCAGTGCCAACACAGAGCTGCACCAATTTATTTACTGTTTTCAGCATATAAACCCCACAGAGAGAGACTCAGGGTTTCTCTAAATGCTCCCCCATGAAAATACAGGAAGAGAACAGTCAATGGGAGCCCTTGGGAGTGCTCTTCACACGCTGCTGTGTGATTCACCTGTTTATCCACAAACAATCTGTGTGTTTCCACAGCAAGCACAACATCATTCTCTTTATGGGGTGTAAAACCAGAGAGTCCTCTGGAGCATCTACACACTTGGCTACAGTCCACCTCTCTCTTTTTCCAGAGATGCATGAGGAATAAATGGTGGATTCAGCACGAGAAGTATCAGTTGATAAAGAAATCTCTTTTCAGAAAGCCTCCTGCAGACAAAACCTTGCTTATAAAAATATGTTACAAAAAATACACCTTGTGGAAACTTTTGTGTGTGCTCAAGGATGCAGAGTGCTTCACCATGTGGAAACAATCCTGTAGTTTGTGTATATATTTACATATATCAATGTGTGATATCCCAAAGCCCTTGAATCTGGAGTTCCTGTTCTACTAAACCAAACAAATCCAGTGTCCTTAAATCTGTGGCCTCCAACTCCCCTATACAGATGGCCTTGAAAATTCTAGTGTAAAAACATGATATAACACAGCTGTAAGAATTTTCAAGAAGATTTTCAAAAGCCAATACCTTCCACAATTAATACACAAATAATAACAACACAAATAATAATTAATACAGAATAAAAACTAATAGTTATGGAAATCCAGCAGCAAGCACTCTATTGAAGAAGAAAATAAATGTACTGCTTTGTATTCTGAAAGAACAATAGTTATTTATGTAAATTTGCACTGCAGTAGTTATTTTTAAATACTATCATATACTTGTTTCATATTTACTACTACTTACTCCCTTTAGATATTCCAGTAATTGAGTAGATATTATTGTAAAATAGACCTTTAACTTTTTTGGTTAATTCTAAAATAAGTGTTTGAGTGACAGAAGAATATGATTATGTTGGTAGAATACAGTTTTCTGCTTCCCCAAAGCAAAGATATCCATTGCTAGCAGAGACTGAATAAGTGAGATGGAAGGATGGAGAGTGATTACACCTGTTGTCTAATTTCCAAGTAAGTTTTGTGTTAGAAGCTGGGTTTCCAGGGAAATGAGCAACTCACTACAACAGCAGGTCATTTTTCTTGTTTCAGATGGAATGTTTGCAACATAGTTATAAATACAAATTAAGTTACAAAATAAATATAAATACAAATACATCTGTGCATATTATTTTAGGAGCCAGTTAAATTCAATAGCTCAGATTCTATTCAACACAGAAAATATTTCAGCAAGGGAGTAAACTTAAAACTTCCTGTGTACAGAATTGCTCCCATCTAAAAATAACCCATTCCATCTAGAGACTATAGAATAAGTTACATCTCAAGAGATACTGCTGAGTGTGTGGCAAATGCTCCTGCAAAAAGCCCCATTTTAAAACAGAAGCAGCAATAATTCCATTAATATCCTACAGGCATGAACAGCCTTGCAGGTGCCTTCCAGACCCATTTCCCTTTCTGTCACCAAGGTCCACAGACATACAGATGTCCCTATATGAGTGGAAACAGTCTCAGCCCATCATTTTCTAAGCCATTCCAGAGGAACGAGAGAGCAGCAGCTCAGGAAGAGGAAAAATGCAGCTGTTTAGGAGAGGAAATAAATGCTGAGATTCTACCTCTGGCAAGAAAATCCCCTGCAGGACACTACAAAATAACAGAGAACACAACGAGCACAGTCTGTGAATGGGGTGGGGATGCCCCTGCTTGCACTTTCTGAGATGTATTGGCATTACATGGACAAAATTAGATGCTCAAGGTCTCTGCACGGCCTTTGGCAAGAGGGGAGAACTTCCAGGACTGAAAAGAGGAAAGAACCCAAGTCTTTAAAGACAAATGTAGCTTATCTTCTCCTAAGAGACATCAGACATAATGGCCTGAAAGCAAAAACTGCGGGGTGAGGTCCTGTGACCTCCACAGGCAGGAGATCTAAGCAATCTCCTGTCAGCCTTCCCTGGCCCCAACAGCTGCGTGTGCCTGAATTTACCCAGTCAGCAGCAACAGCAACTCTCCTTTAAAGAGTCTCCGTAGAACATTTTAATTAGTTTGGTCTTATGGCTTGTCTAAAACACTTCTGATAGCACAGTGTACACTAAAGCAGTGTTATGAATGCCTAAAAATATAAAATCTAATTATGGTAGCTCCGCAACCAGAGTAATGAGAAGCAAGTGTGAGTGATAAGTGAGACGGGCTAACGAGCTGAACCACTGCAGTTCAAAGGAAAACAGAGGTCTGAAGGAAGCACCTGTGGTATTGCTTGGGGGAAGATATGTGGACTAGGAAATATGAACATACTGCATTTAAAAAGATACGGTACTAAATGGATACACAACATCGCTAATTATTAGAGCAGATACTTAACATATGGGCAAAATAAGTTGTTAATAAGGATGTGTAAGACTGAAGATGATTGCTAAGAAAAATACAGCTGGTGTAGTGAATAAGAAGCTCCCTGCTGTAGATAAGAGCAAGCTGTGGCTCAGAGTGCTTGGGTTGATTCTGCAGAGCTGACTGCAGGCTGCATGGCCACCATGCACGGCGTTGTTTGGGAGTTTGTTCTGCCTGAGTGATTACACACTGGCCAGCGAGGCAGAGCTGCCAGGATCAGAGACAGGGAAGGAGAAGGCAAAGCAGACATCCTCTGGCATGAATGGGAAACTGGAACAGCAGGACACAACTGATGATTTTGCCTTCCTTTATGTAAAGATCGTACTCTGTCACGTCAGTTAATGCATCCACAGCTGCAACACATTTCCTGCTGGACTGTCAGCATCTGACCTGGCCCTTTGCTGAAATGCTTGCCACCAAACAAGACAGCTGCCCAGTGAAATATCAGTGAATTTTCTGTACTCATCTAGACTTTCCCAAGCTCATCAACTACTGATCAATTCATACTCTGTGAGAAACCGTGAAAGCAAAACATTTAGTAACAATATTGTTCTACTGCTAGTAACAACTTTATTGTTCTGCTGCACACCAAAATTGCTGTAAAGGAAAACATCATTCTGTTATACAGAAGATGGAAAAAGCACAGGAATGTTCTCACCATTCTGCTCCAACCCACACCTGGCAGCAAGTTTTGTGTCTGCATGTCTGGGCTTAAGAAAGTCAGCTCGAGTTGACTCTCCCGCAGAAGTACAGAATTATCACAGAATCATTTGGGTTGGAAGGAGCATTAAAGATTATCTTGTTCCAACCCCCTGCCATGGGCAGGGACGTCTTGCACTATCCCAGGCTGCTCCAAGCCCTGTCCAGCCTGGCCATGGACACTCCCAGGGATGGGGCAGCCACAAATTCTCTGGGCAACCTGTTCCTTCTACATTCTTGCATTGTTTCTATGTGGTTAAAATACATAATTAAGGAGACTCTTCTATGTGCATACATCACTGGGGGGATGGAATGAAATATGGACAATGCTTGATGAGATTTCCTTTGCTTAGTTTATCCAATTTGCATTAACTATAACGCTTTTTCCTGGTCTTACTGGTCTCCTGAAACGTTTGTCACAAATTATATAATCAAATACTAAACAGTGCATAGATATATTTCCTTTAGTTCTCAGGTTGTGCTGATGAAGTTCTTAACCTTACCAAGTATCAAAGCTGTAGAGACAGTCCTATTTAACAATATTCAGTAACTTACTTTCCTACCCTGCTGCCTCCATACTAGTATTTTTAGCTAGTGCTGATTTTCCAATCTGTCCAGGCTGTCATTCAGGGCGTGGGGAATACCAGAAATGGTGCATTTGGTTTTGACAGTATCCCAGACTGTTTTTTAAAAATAACCAAGGAAAAGACTTTACAGCATTGTTTGAAAATATTAAATTTCCATGGGGGTCAATAGAGGTGCTTCCTATATGCAATTTATTCACTAACAAGTTTCATGGGTTTTATGAGACTATTCACCTTCCTGGTTAATAGAAAATCTGTACTTGCCATGGCAACCCCTAAATCAGATGGCTCTACAGTAATACCCTGGAAATATACCATAGATTTTTTTCAGTCTTCATAATCGATCTGGTCATGAATGTCACAGTAACTTGTCATTAAACTCTCCCCTCTAGCAACTCTGGTAGTTCTTTGATCCCTCCTGCCTCTCTGCCACGCAGTTCCCTGTGCACAGCTGCATTGTTCTGCCTGCAGCCTTTTCCCAAAGCTGTCACCTGCCAGCGGTGTCAATCCTCAGTGATCCATGATGGGGCAGCTGCTGACACCAGGCAGATTCACACACACCTCCTGCTGCTTAGAGCAGTGGTCACCTCCACACAGCTCTGATAACCAACTGCAAACCAAGAAGGAAAAAAAAAAAAAAAACCCAAAAAACCCCAAATAAACAAAAACACCAAAAAACAAACACCCAAAAAACCAAAGAAATAAAAAAACCAAAAAAGCCAAAACAAAACAAAACAAAAAAACCAAAAAACAACAAAGGGGAAAATTTGGCAGTTAATAGCAGGCTAAATTATTTGTCTGTGTTCCTCAGGTGACTCCTGGGATTTCATGTCAGGTCCAGCAGCTGGCACTGGGAGATGCTGCCTTTGGGAATCAGACTGACCTGTCTGGCACCAACAGGGCTTGAAAGGAATGCCCTGTGCAAAGTGAATCAAGGAGATGGGGTGGAATTCAAATTTCACCAGCTCCTGACTGTCATGAGACTCCCAGTGTATTGTAGTCAGAACTAAGCATGGATTTTGAAAAAATTTTCTGTAATCTGGAAATACAATCAGAGGTGACATTTTGCTAAGGGTTAAGAAAGTTAAAGTCAGTATATAAACGGGGGAAAAATATTTAAAATTATCTGAATAAACTAGGAGCTAAATGAAAAGTTTGTGCTTTTAGAAAAAAAAATAGGGTCATGATACAGCAGAAAACTGCACAAAAATGGAATAGATTCTTTATAAGAGCACATACTGCAAAACATTGCATAGGAAAATGAGGAGGTTAGGGTGGGTCACACACAAAAACTTCTGAAATGTTTGTACTACACAGGAACCCTCCAAAAGCTGTGTAGCAGAAGTTAAGCAGATTTCATCTGCATATCTGGGGGTACTAATTAAAGTCCAGAAGTATATAAGTATTAGCAAACATTTATCCAAAATGTTAGATTCATCTCTTTTAAATCTTTTTCACATTATTTAAATGCACAGCAGTGCTGTGTTATCAAATGCAGCACAGCTGTCCTGGAGCCAGGCCAGAGTAATTCAGGAGGGAATCAGATCCCTTGTGTGCCCACTGCCCTCTCTATGGACAGGCAACTTGTTATATTAACTAAGAGAAAGATTATCAAATATGTAAAATTTTAAATTTCCTTTACTATATTTAGACCAGTAGCAGTGAAACTGCCCAAGGTTCCCAGTATTTTAGAAGAAAGACACTTTCCAGTGACAGAAAATAAAAAAGTTCCCAGCTGGAGAGCCTTGGCTTTGTTTGGATCTTATAATTTAAGGAATCATTTTCTAAAATTACCTCTTGTACAGTAAAATGACAATGATTAGGCTTGCTATGTTACAGTCTCCTGCTGTGCAAAACATTCACTCCCCAGGCTCAGGATACAAAAGTAGCTGCTTTACAAATAATAACACAGCTTAACTATCATTTAATAGCTTCAAAAACATCATACTAGTTACAAACTCCTTGGAATGAGGACAACTAATTTCAGCATCTCAGTTGTTGTCATGTTTAATCACTTTCTAATGCTGGTGGCTGTTTTGGTTTGTTTCTTTGTTTTTAATTGCTGGAAATTTTTAATTCCTGGTTCAAACAACCTAATTTTACAGTTTTTAGATTAATCAGTGATCACTTGAGGGGAAAAAAATTATTGAAGTTCATCAGAATGTAGCACGGAGAATCAATGTAATTTTGCAGAAAAACAGTTTGATTCTACCTTCCTGAGCAATGTGGAACTCTAACACTTGAATGTAACACTGGGAGCATTGTCTGGGTACTTTCAGGGACTTTCAGGGATCCTTTGCTGGATTTACAGAGATGATCTTCACTGCCAGAACTAAGGCTGTGTCAGCTCCAGGTCTGGTGTGCTTAAAGGGTGGGAAAATAACTCTCTCACTAGCACAAAAGTCATCTCCTGGCTCCAAGTTTTCATTTACACTCCAGGGAAATTCTCCTGCACATCTCCTCTGACTGCCTCGTGCACTAATGTCTCCTTTTGGAAATACTAAAGTACATGTACATCATTTTGGTGAAGAAATCCTGAGAAAACTGTTAGCAGGAATTCAAACGCAACGTGAGAGTGCGAGCCACTTCTGAGAAAAAATAAACCTGCAAAGAGATCCTGTTCTCTGTTTTCTGCCCAGGATTTCTACCTGTTCGTCCAGAATGTCCTGATGGTCACTCTGGGATGTGGAGGGAGGTGCTGCCAGAGGGGTGTGTGGTACCAGCTTGGCAGGTTGTGTGCAGGAGAGCACCAGAAGTGCCCTCAGCAACACAGCCTGGCTGCTCAGATTGGGGAGAGCAGCGCCAAGAGCTCCAGAAACTTTCATAAATAAAAACTTCAGCCTTCAATCAGTCAGGCAGACAAAGCCATGGGGTTTCTTTCACCCCTATTTGAATGCAAATCAAGTGTTTGACCCAATAAATAACTGTGATTTCCTGTTTCCTACACGCTGAGGGATCCAGTGCTTCCTACCCCATTAAATGAGATTGTGTTTAGGGAACCTCTATCCAGCAGCTAGGAGAGGGGATTTATCAGGGTCATTCAGTCATCTCCTCAGCATTTTTTCAACCATGGCATTTGACCACTGCCTTTTTGTTTTACAGTCTGCCTTAACAAAGGAGAAAATAAGAGAGATTTTCTTGTGGTTTTAGAATGGCACTTTTTTTTTTTTCTTATTTATATATAAATACATTCTTACCTGGGCGTATTTGCAGGACCAGCTCTGAATTCAAGCTCTATCCAGACATTATTTGGACACCCAATAATAAATCCCCGATTCTAAGCTTCTATGTCTGTGCAGGGCCTTTACATTATCTGTAATCCAACCAGCAATAAAAATAATCATAAATCACTTCTCTGAACACAAAAGTACTTGAGAACATTTGTAAAGGTCCAGAAACTCTCAGATCCAAACCTCATACTAAAGCCTTCCATCACAGGTAGGGCATCCCTACTCCTATAATTAAAAGTGCCCACATGTCTCCTCACACCACCAGCCTCCCTCAGTCTATCCACCAGCTGCAACCCTTTCTCAGTGTTTTAACACTGTTAAACAAGATTATCTATATCAAGGCAGTCTTTGTTCACACCTCATCAAATACAGCAGCAGGTTCAGCAAGGCAGTAATGCATATGAGACACGGACTCATTTTAAATTGTTCTTTGTTAGATAACTTAGCACAGAATCCTCAGTGGACCCTTTTCCAAACAAATTTCTGCACTGAAACATACCTGGGGATGCTCAAACTCGTAATTGGAGCATTCCATGTAATAGAGAGAAGCATGAAGGTATTACTGTTTTGTTTATTCTGAAATGAGTTGTTTCAGTTGCAGCCACAGTGACATCAACATCTTTGATTCTTATCTCTCAAAGGCTACAAACTGGTTCATTTCTGCTGCTTGACTCTGATTTGATATTTATCTGATCTAGGTCAGAATCTGGCCTAGTGGGATCTTAGGAAAAGTAAAGCAGCCCAAAATTTACTCCTGACTAGTCTACCTCTCATGCCACTGAAAATATGCTTATCTTTAGTCAATGTATTTCACATTTCTGTAACTTGATTTCATAATTTTAGAGCTTGTCATTGTCACTCCTAGCAGCTTGTCCCCCAAAATGCTTTAGCTATTTTGACACCATTATACTGTTAATATCTTGATGAACTCTTACATCTTATAGTATTGGCTTTATAAAACATGAGGCAAATGGTTGTGACTTGATGCTGAAAAAGCCTAAAAGCATCAAAACCCGTGCAAGGAATTAGCTCTGTCATGGAGAATAAAAGCTGTCACCCATTATGACAGAATTATCTGTATCCTTTATCTAGAAAAATCCAGCATATCCATCCCAGTGGGGAGAAAAACCCCAGAGTATCTAATGAACAAAATAGAATCCTACATCTCTAGTTAGCTCCCTGTTCATTTTGGGTTTATGTATGCTCAAGGGACTATTTCAGTGTTAAAACATAACTCACAGAAGACACAGGAGATAAAAGAAGCTGAAACATTTTGATGGAATATTTCTCAAAGGGAAAATTTGTTTTTGAAAGTCTCTTTTTAAGCCTTCTTTAAACCTCAAGGTCCTGTGCATTGTGCTTTTCCGTAATTTTTCCCCAATTTTGATTTTCACTGCTCTTTTTACAGGCTGTGAGCTCTCTTGAGCATTTCAGATCTGCCTCCTTCATCTTTTTTAACCCGAGGGCTTTAAAACTCCAGAAAGTAAAAAAAAAAAAAATATTAAAAAAACAAGCCTGGAGATAGACAGAGGAACAAAAATGGCCACAGGGTGCCTTGAAGAAGGTGGGAAAATAGATTGTTAGAGAAGGAAGAGAAAGGTGGTAATTTCAAGAGAACAGTGCAGTCACCCACCTTTTTAATCACCCAGAAGCAAAGTATTTAAGGACAAAATTCAGATAAAATCATGACTGAAGTTGCTTGGATGCTAAATACCTTTTTATAGACCCATGAAGAGCTCCTGCTATTGCATCTTTTGTTCCTCTAAACTACAAATACCCATACAACTCCCACACAAAAAAATACAATCCTTCATTATCATTCACATTTGATTTATGTGAATTTAGTCATTGAATTATGCAGGAACAGCCATAATCACCTGGCTGATTGGGAGACTGATGTGAACCGAGTCCCACACCCCTGTGGTTTTGGTGTCTTCTCTCTGGCACTCCGAGTCTGGGTTCCCTGGCTCGTGCTCCTCTGCTTCAGCTGGCAATCCAGAAGCCCTGGCTTTACTCAGATCTTGAATTTTGGCTCTCAGCTCCACGATGAAAAGCTGCAGACTCAGAGATTCTGTTACAAAAAGCAGCACCCTGGAATTGCTGCCTCTGTGCTGGGCAGCCAAGAACAGGCCTTGAGGGTCTGCCAGTCAAAGATGCTGGATTTGAAGGTTACCCTTTCCTGCAAGGCTCATGAAATCCCATTTCACACTGGGACAAACAAGGAAAAGAAAAGAATAGCAAAAATATGGTGCTTGAGTATTTTCAAAATTGTTTTCTTGGGTAGTCTTTTCAAAATACTATAACTTCTAATAGAAAAGGACTTAAGAGTTTTTAGGAACTTCAGTTAAAATTGACTAAAATTCAAAAGGCCTGAGGTTCAAAACTCATTTGCTACTCAGCCATCAACTCCTCCTGCTCTTCAGCAATCAGTTTCACTGCAGGTTACTGATACACTGCCTTGATTAAGCTAATGATGAAATGGAGATAGTTTCTTTTTTTGCCTGCATACTCAGCTGTAGAAGGAACATGTGATAGTTGTAAATTATTTATTATTTGGAGGTGAGGGGATGGCAATCAGTAACTGCACAGTTTGTACAGATTATTCTCTTCTGCTCTGCTAAGGTCTAATGTGAGTAATATTTGATTATTTGACAGATCATTTCAAATGTGACTGTATAAAAACTAGGAAAGAGACTCAATATGCTTCAAACAGCTTGTAAGCTCTACCAAATTAGCTTTAGGACCACAGCATGAGAAAACTAACATAGGTCTTTCATTATAGGAGTAAATCAGACTTTCAAAATAGGAACATCAGTAGTAATAACCAACTGTTTAAGAGATATTATTTTCTTTCAAACAGGGAAATGTCAAAAAGGCATACACAGAACAGGAATATTATGGTAGAAATGGTAGAGAGCTAATCTCTTTTATCAATTTTATCTTTTATAAATCTTTAGACATCAGGAAATACCAGGAAAGCAGAAGTTTTTGCACATCCCATACCCTGATGCAGCAATGTCACTGCTCATCCTTACAGGACTCCTCGTGCCCCCTGCTGTACCCTGGGTGCTTGGGCAGCCGCCCATCCCCACCTTTCCTCCCAGTAAATCCAGAAATGAGACATGGAACACCTTCCCCAGACCAGGAGCACAAGGAAAGCAGCAGCTCTCTGAGTCTGAAACTCCCATGAAATAGATTTTAAACATAAAAAAAACATTCCTTTTAATCATAGGGAGAGTTTACCTCTTCAAAATCAGACATAACTTATTTTAATTCCCAAGTTTTCCAGTGAAGAACAGATAATGGAAAATTCTGGACTGATTAGGCTAAGAGGTTGTGTAACTCAGTGGCACACTTCCATACATTCATAAATAATGACTGACAGCACCTAACAAACACAAGAGGGAAAAGGACAAATAAGTCACAAGAAAATTCAAATTAGTTTTCAAATTCCACCAAAAAATGCCTATAATGGAACCTCCTTTTTAGCCAACTACTTAAGTATTGTAAATTACATATACAATATGTTCATTATTTTTGTTCTGAACAGTTCCAGTAAAAGAAAACCTGGTTTGGTTTTTTGGAAGAATAGCTTAAAAAAATTGCCTACAGTAGTTGGATCTGGAGGTCTGTCAGGCAACATATTACTTGGAAATCTGCATGAATTTATATGTTAGAAATCAAAATATTTCCATGCATTGTCTCAAATATGTTACAAGTATATTAGGGTTATAATTACAGAACATGCTCACAAGAATCCATAAAGAAATAAATAAACCTGGTAAAAAAAAATATTCAACTAATTAATTTCCAGTGGGAAAAAAAAAAAGTTCTAGCACACATTTACAGTTTAGTCACCAGGAACACTGACTTTTAAAGAATATCAGGAGAATGAAGAAAGGCACATTTCCATTATTACAATTTCTAAATGGAATATCCTTGGGTTCAAGGCTGATTTGCCTTTTGAAATATTAACAAATTTATCCCTGAAAAAAAATTTGAAGATGACCCAGCACAAGAGTTTGCAAAAAGTTAACATTTCCATGAGAACTTCAGATTGAAATGGCTGAGGATCACGAGCACACAGAATCATAATGCTCTGCAACAAGTCACTTCAAGACAAATTAAAAATAGATTTCAGTCTGAAAACACAGAGATTAAATGAGCAGGTGAAGGGTAACAAATACCATTGAGCTTCCTCCTCCTGATCCAGGGGGCAGGGGCACGAGACTGGTAAAAGAGATTTTCAGGAGTTTCTCCTCCCATGCCTGCTGGAAGCGGTGCCCCACAGAGGAACAGAAAGACTCACACGTCCTGTGTCTTCCTGACCCACTTTGTTTTTGAGATAATGCCAAATTTTCAGTGTCAAATAATGGGGGATGAGGGAAAGGGAAAGAAAACAAGCCCTTCTACTTCAATGCAAGGCTTTCAGGGAGATGTAGCATGAATTTTTCATGCTCGCAGTCTCATCTATATGCTCAGCTTCCTAGCTGACACTAGAGTTTCCATGATGTCCTTATAAAAATGGAAATGAAGAGCACAAATATAAAACCTCATGAACTTACTTGGTGCAAGTGCTGCAAAAGGAAACCTAGCCATGAATTAAGTTTACAAAAAGAAATGAAGAATTTCTGCAACATTTAAGATGAAAAAAGGCCAATCTAACAGCATATTTAATTTGGGATGAACACTGAGACTTTTAGAGATTTGACTTAAAAAACACAAACAGAGCAGCAAAACTTAATGAAAAATTGCAGAAAAACAACCAAGACCCTCAGTTTAACATTTCTGAAAGAGAGTCTGTCTTTATTGCCACTAAATTTTTTTCCTGCTCTGTGTAAAGCAAAGTTTGATCTTGGATAACCTGGGCAGAAATGAACTTTGATCTGATTGAATCAAGCCTTTCTAGTATGTAGAAAAATCAATATGTGCCATTTAATAGGAAAATACAACTAGGATAAAAATACAAAAAATATTAACCAGCATACATATGTATGTACTGCAGAGCTCTGACCAAAAATATTAACTAAGATTCAATTAACACATACTAATGCTTGTATCTGTCTCTGATTTTTCACAGGAAGCATTGCAGAATATAATTAATGTTCCAAAAATAGATGCAAGTTCAGAACACCATTATCTTGAAGAATTTAATTGGTCTTACTATTCTATGAAGTACAGCAAAATGCCATTTTTTTCAATAAGTTTAAGAAAGAAAGACTCTCTCTCCAAATCTAATTATAGATATTTTAAAGGTGAAGCAAAGCAACACAGAGATAACACCTGTATTGAAATAAAATGTCCCTATTGGTGTATTCAACTCAGAGTAATTATCAACTGAGATGAATTCCCAATAAATGGTTAACAGAATGAAAAAAAAAAAAAAAAAAAAAAAAAAAAAAAAGAAAAAAAAAGAAGCTGAATATTCTTATTGTAGGTGCTGCTTTGTAGCAATTTCACACACCCATCTCAATCTGACCCTGAAATTTGTGGGAAAGATCCTTAAAGCAGAGCTTGCTGCCACCAAGATGAGCAGTGCAAACAGAAGCAGAGGATGTCCCATAGCTCTGCCTGGTTTTGCCTCTCTTGTGTCAGGATAGGAGATTTTTGGGTGCTCTGCTCTTTGCCACCTTCTCCTGAGGAAATTATTGCACTCAAGACTGTCAAGGCCTGGCCTTGCCAAGCTGTACCCAGCACTAGAGTGATGATTTACCCACAGCCCTACTCTACATCTAGCCCGTGAAATATACAGTATTCTCTTCAAACCCCTCTAAAATGGTGTTTTGGCTTCAGTAGTGAAGGAATGATAATTAGAATTTTCCACCAGATATTTTATAACCATTCTTTTCCTCAAAATACTTCAAGCTTCCGGAGTGCCTGTAAAATGGATTGTCCTTGAGAGATGAAAATGGAAATATAAGCATGGTGCAGTAATGGAAACACAGAAACTTTCTCCACTTTAGGATGCAGATACTATTCCTGTAGCACCATCCTGGTCTGTGCAAACTTTTCTGACAAACTGGAGTATTAAGAAAATTTCTTTCACAGTTTCATATATAAAATAAAAATGAGAAATGGGTGGGTTCCTTATCATAAAAAGTTCATTAGGCAAAGGCAGAACAATACTCAAATTTTAAAAACATCCATCTTTTATGTTTAGATGTGAAGAATCCATATTTTGTGTGGATAATTGACTATTAAATTGGGCATACAGGGATGCTTCATCATTTGATGCCTTGAAAAATCCTCTTTTCTAGCTCAATTAAAAATTATGCTGGTTGATAAAAGGACAATTTATCAAATTCTAGTGGCTCACACTGAGCAGGTTGTCACACCAGATTATTTTAGAAGGGCATCTGTCATTTGAGTCTATCAAAACCTCTGTATCTACAACACACAGGCTGAACACTTCAGTGAAATATTCTCATAATGCCATATGGATTCTAGAAATCAGCCTTTGCAGTGCTGTGTCTGATGTTTGAATTCACATTCAGTTGACCTCAGGGTTTCATTTTGTCTAGAATAGAGTTTGGCTCACTGACATGAAAAGAGACAAGTCACCATCCTGAAAAGAAAAGCAGAAAAATCAGTACAGGTGTCCTCTTCATGTCCCCACTTCTGCTGAATGTAATCACCTTGAGACTTCCCAGATAATTTCAGTAGAGAGTAAAAAGAACAAGCTGTCTTAAAAAAAAAAATAATAAAATTATATATGTATATAAAATCTGTGTATCCCTGGCATTTTTTTTGCTTACAAGTGCTTTGATTTATTAAAAGTTGTACACATTTACTTGCAAAAGTTCATATTACAGCTCCAGGTAAGCTGAGGTCAGGTTGCTCAGGAAGAAATTTGCACTTAAATGAACCAGCCTTTCAGCCTGACAAAGATGAAGCCATTCAGCATTGACATTTCCCCAGTGGGTCTGGGATCAGTGAGGGGAGAGGCAGAGCCACTTCCAGGTGCCAGGATTGCTCACTAAAGTGAAGGCAAATTTTTGAGCAAATACTTCCAGCAGAGCAAGAGGGAAGAGAAAACACAAGCAGACAACAAAATCCCGAGCAAACAAAATATCATCCCCTAGGCTGCAACA